TGACTTTCATAAAAAAAACATATTTATAATAATTTCGATCATCTGTGAATAGTTCCTGAAAGTTTCATTAACATCCGATAATTATTTCTATTTTTGCAAGATTTTTTTCAAATTAATGTGTGTCATACCAAAAAAAAAAAAAAAAATTGTCTATGTTATTTACTAGTTCCGCTGATACAAATAGAAACAAGGTTTTTTAAATCAAAATTTAGAATGTTCTAAAAAAGAAGGAAAATTTTTTTAAAATAATTAAAAAAAAAACTTTGGTCTTTCCTCTTAATAATAACATAAGCATTTAGACAATAAAATTTTGTTTTTTCGCAAGGTTGGCGTCTTTTTCATCAAGCTATGCTCTTTTTTTTTTTTATTTCGTGGAGGTACCTAAGATAACAGGTACTTTTATAGCTATGTATAAAAACCTGAAAATATTTACCTGTAAATTTCTAATATTTATTAAAATACTATGTACTTCAAATATTGTTAAACAGGTAGGACGTCATTCAGTTCTATAAATTTTGAGAATACATTCAATAATTGTTAAAATTATTTTAACATTACTAAATATATATATTTGCTTATTCTGATCCTCATTGCTGAAGGTCAGGGACCATGAACAAATGTACCAATGCCCTGTACAACTGTGCACACCAACAGAATTCTCTGTCCAATCTCTAATGTCAAAAAAAAAATTTTTTAGTCTTCCTCTCTGTACTCTACAATCAATGTGTCCCTCCAGAAAATATGGCCAAATTATTAGTTTTTGCTCTCTGTTCCCATCTCCACCAGGATCAAATTGTTTTTTGGTTCGCCTAGCTGTAGCACAATGCCCACCTGTAGCAAGCACATATTCTCAAAAAGCATTAGTTTAACATCAATGACTTTCAGTGTCATGGTCTCACCAGCTACACTAAGATCTTCAATTTAATGCTTTTGTGAAGGGCACAGCTTTTCCATCAGGGTGGACCTAAGTACTGATTTTGCTGCCATATATTACATACACACACACTAAATAAATATACATTGCCACTCTCAATGGTAGAGTATCAAACTCACTAGCTTGAATCTGTAAGACTAAATATTAATCTACAGAAAATACCCAAAATGACAAAATGGATACATTTTGAGTCAGAGCATCATTATAATTTACTTGAAGGGAATTTTAATTTAACAATGAGGGTACCACATGAACATATTCTTTTCACAAAATGATGGCAACACAATTATCACAAAAAAAAAAAAAAAAAAAAAAAAGTGTCATGACCTCAGACAATTGAAAATAGGCTGTAATAAAATATTACACCAGAAAAAAAAACAAAAAAACTTAGTACTTTGACACTAAAAAATCCATCATTTCATGATTTCATAACATGACAAGTATTTTTAATTGAGAAATTATGAAAGTGTAATGGCATCACATGTATTATAATAAGTTACTTCATGATGTAAAATCTTTGTGCACTTACTTTAGCGAAACTTTTGCGGAAAGAGAGAAATGAGGGAATTCAACTGTAATCTTGTGGCGAAAATGTAATGAAAGATTATTTTGTATTCACAGAAAATTTATAGAAATAACTTCTAGTCGACCCCATCAGATTGAAGGGGAGCCAAAATTTGCATATGTGTATGAAGAGAGATATATATAAAATGCTAAAATAGTTAGCAATGCGAGATTACACCAGTTACAAGAATTTGTTATTTCTTTCTTTCTGCACAGAGTTTCACTTCAAATGCTAATAGTTGCCATTGTAGTTTTTCCGCCTTCCTTTTCCCATAACATTTGGATTTGAAATTCTAACAACAAAGATACATGAAAGCAAGAAACTAAGTGCTGGTTAAGCCTAAGATTACACCTTTCTTGCTTTCATTTTTATTTGTGCAGGGGTGCCATGAACCTGCTCAAACCTGCGCAAATTGCTCTTGCAAATTCCCTTCAAGTAAATTATAACAAAACATAAGTATCATAATTTATTATATATTAATGATTTTGGCTTGAGTTTTTTCAAAAGCATTTAATTTGTATTTTTGAACATTGGTAGAGTATGTTTAGATAGAGGCATGATTTAAATGAATGCCTTACCATGGGTACCACTTTTGAGGCGTGGCTGGTTGAAATACATTAATATAAAAAGAAATTCACTTCTTTTGAATGTAATAAAAAGAACACAATTTTTCACGTCAATTTAAAATTAAGAGTAATGAACATTGAATAAATCTAATCAAAACTATAAAGACTATAAACTTTAAGCTAACATTAAAGAATGAAAAATCCCTCCAACTAAAGTTTTTGTTATGCAACCCATTGATTTCATGCTATAAAAAAAAAAAAAAAAATTTGGATGGCCCAAAGTAGCAAATGTACAAGTCAGCAGACAGAAATTAAAACAAACATTTTTTTTGTTAAGCTTCAAACTTTTCAATTTCTTTTTTAAAAGTTTGACAGTAAAGGAGTTACAACAAAAAGTAAATTATAATTGAGTACCTCCACAGAAAATGTGATACCTAAAGTTTAAAATACATTTTTAAAAATGAAAAATCTTTCATGAAGCTTTAATTTCAAGCTAATAGATTATTTAATATTTCCAATATGCAAAATACTTTGCTATATTTCAAAAACTAATTTAAAGTGACTGGAAGTTTTTTTTTTTTTGTTGCTCAAAATAGCTGATTTGTAGCCTTTTATCTAGTTTTTTTTTTATCACAATGTAATAATCTTTATTAAAAAAATATTCTAAAAATATACGTTCCTGAAATTATTTTGAGGAATATAAGCTGATTTAGAGTAATCTGATTTGAAACAGTATTTGCACTAAGTTCAAAATATTGCAGAAATGCATTTTTTAACACAGCAGCATCTGTTTAAGCTGCTGACATGCTTGAAAGAGGCTTTTGAGTTTAGCCAAAAAAAAAAAAAAAAAAAAAAACATGAATATAATGTGAGTGCCTTTTTCATATATAATTTTTAAGTAATCAGTAATCATAAAAATTTAAGAAAATATTCTAGGCATGGTGGAGTAATGGATAGCGGCTCAGATTGAGGAATCCGAGAGCAGAGTTCTAATACCAGTTAAAAAATCCATCCATTACATTCACTTACACGCCAATACCCTTGGGAAAGGTATGAATCCTCCTCTTCCCCCCTCAGCTATGGGTAAATAGCAGGACAGACCGAGTTCTATAGCCTTGGATGGCAACTGGTCTAACGCAGAAAGAAATGAAAACCTACTGCAGGAAAAAAAATCTGCCTCGTCAGTCATGTATCGAAAGATACATGATCGCCTAAGCGTGTCTCACGCATGGCACATAACTGATTCTCCATGATCATGGTTTTATTGAATTGTTGATACTTTCAGCCTGGAAGTATCAACAATTCAATAAAACCATTAAATTTAAGACCTGAAAGTTTCAGGTCTTAAATTTACTATAGTTATCACTCTGGCGTCGTAAACTACCGTATCTACAAAAATCGGCACGTTACTTTACATACAAAAAAATTAAAAATAAAAGAGTAAAGTAAAGAAAGACGCTAAAAATTTTCTGTTAATTTATTTGTAAAAATGAATGTAACGTCTTTTAAAGACGTTACATTCATAAATAAATTAACATTTATAAAGACTTTTTAGTACTTACCAAAATTCAAAGATAATCTATTCTAAAACCAAATAATATCTACTGAAGTACACTTTGAATAGGCGTTTTTGAAACTTAAAAAAAAAAAAAAAAAAAAAAAAAAGCTATTTCCAGTAATAAACCATAAGTGTCATATAAGTCAAGAATACAGAATACCCTTCAGGTGGCTAAAAAAAAAATCAAACTGAATAATGTCCCAATGTTATTTAAACAAGTACAGAAAGTTCTTTTGATTTTTAATTTAGAGGTATATTGCTTTATTTTGTTTTGTCTTTTACAAATATTAGTTTAAAAAAAAATCATAGTGTGCATAAATTTGATTTCTAAGAGTCGTAATTAGAGTTTTGTTCTTTTACTTAAAAAAAGCTTAAAATCAACAAAGGTTAAAAAAAGGACATTTAAAAAAAAAAAAGTGCTTTTTATGAAGATACTTCTGACAATTATATAATTTACGCAAATATTATGCAATATATTAATTTTAGAATTTTGTAATTCAAAAATAAAAAATAAATTAAAAGGTGACTTTGTTGTTGAATTTTTGGCCTTTTTTGTAACATATTATTCATTACAACTTCTTGCGGCGGTTGTTTTAAAAGACAACTGTTTTTTCATGTACAGAAAAATTTACATAAAGTTTGTTACAAAAAAGCAAAATTATTACAAAAACAATTATTGACAATTAATTTGAATTATTTAAAAAAGAATGTTAAATAATGGAAAAGGCTTCGTTTTTTAATTAGATTACTACTTATAAGTAGCAAGAATTTAAAAAAGAAATTAAACTAATTAATTTTAAAATAAATATTTTAATGAAAACTAGTTTTTCATAGAAAAAAAAAGGAAAAAATATTTTTGAAAAGTTTCAGGAAGCGAGTTTACTGACAATATTGGGCTTTTCTACTATAAGAAAAGAATTTAAATAAATTTTTGTGAAAATATTTTTTTTTAAATGGTCATTCCATCAGCTTCTTTCGTGATTGAATAAGACAAGAAGACTAGTAAAGAAATCTTTTTAAAGATAAAATTACGAACCACCACCATTCTAAATTGAAATCTGTTCTTTGCCAATTTTTTTTTGTTTAACTTCTTTAAGTACAATAATCATTCACTGGTGAACATTTAAAAATAAAAGATTAATTAAAATGTATAACTTTACAATATAAAATGATAGAGTTTGTTTTTTAGAGATGAATCATTTCGACACGACAGACCTTCAAAAAAACCACGTTTTTTTTTTTTTTACTTTAAATTTGTAGATCATTTCAAATCTGTAATCAATTTTATACCCAGGATCTTACCATCAGTTACATAACACCTAAAAAGGGGAAATGATACTGGAAAAATATTAAATTTATAAAAAAGGTATTCGTTACCTCAACAAAAAATAAAACAGCGCTGAAGCCAAGGACAGATATTAAACCCTACAAGGTGAAACTGGAGAGAGATCAGCGTAAAGCGAAAAGTAGTCGTGTACAATCGACTTTCATCGGTACTCTCCGTCAAACTTCGTTTTCTTCCGTTACAATCCGGAAACAAGATACAGGATATCACGTGACTGTTGCCAGTTCATGCTATTATTATCTGGAAGCCATTTCCGCTCGGGTGAAATTTCCGGTGAACTTTCTCAGAGAAAAATTTCTGTTACCGATCGTTTGTGTTTTTCCTCACCCTCCCGAGATTGGAGTTTACCACTCATCAAAGCAGGGTGAGTAGATTTTATAGCATGTTTGATCTACCTCTCTTTGTTAGGGTCTGCCATTCTTATTTTATAAAAAGAAGAGACGAACACGTCGAGAGAACGACTTCTTGGCCATCATGGATGGTTAAGTCTCGACCAGTTTGTTTTGGAAAGAGAGAGAGGAAAGAAGCATCAAGCATGGTGCCAAAGCCGGAAGTTTCCTACGTAAATACCAAAGCAGACTTCTGTTTCCTGTTATGGCAACAACTTCCAAACATCTGTATAAAATGTCCTTCATCTGCATCTATTCGCCCCCCTTTATTTTTTTTTTTAAAGAAAAGAAGGCATCCACTTTATTCTACGCTCTTTCTTTTGTGTTTCGCTCCGCCGCCATTTTCGCCTATTTTTCACATGCACTTAAAACTCTTCATTTGACAGCGACAACAAAATAACGTGGCCTTCTTCTTTCTTGGAGATTTTTTTTTTGTTTCCGTTAGGGACAACATGAAGACTTTATTTATTTTTCTTCTTATGGAACTAGGGTGCTTGATCACCTAACAAACCAAAATTTCTTTTTAAATGCCATCACCTTTAAAATAATATTTTTATAATTAAGTCATATAAACAATAAATATTTATATTTTTGGTTGTCTTTTTTATCTCGTGTTATTCTTTTTTTATCATTTTGAAAGTTAAAATATTTTTATTTTTAAAATAATGATCAGTTTTGTTTTGTCACTTTGTCTAATAAAAACGAATGTCTAGTGTACCGAGCGTGTGTGATCTTAAACTTCAGGCTATTGTTCTTCTTAAACTACCCTTTTTATTTTATCTTTAAATTTATTATTATAATTAAAGAACAAAAATATACCAAATGATCAGAATACGTAGAGCATGATTTGGGCGGCGAACATAGACAAGAAAGGTATAAATCTATCTTTTGTGAATTAATATAGGTCAGTTCTCCATCGAAGTAGATAGAGAAAATATAAGAGGGAAAAAGCAAACATTTGAATTATTCTTGGCTATTCGTGTGTGAAAAGAAATGTGTGTGTGTGTATTTATTGCTTGACTCTTTGCTTAATAATAAATAATAACCCATTGATAATTGTTTATTTGCATGTGACACACAAATTGTTTTTGTTTGAGTTTTTTTTTACTTTTTAAAGTTAGTTGTAGAACAGTCAAATATTTTTCTCTATTAATTAAAAATTAAGTTTAATTCTTTTGATCTGTTTGTGTGCAATCTTAGTGATTGGCAGATTTTTAAATGACTTAGTCTTAATCTAATCAATCCATGTATTATTTTATTCAAACTTTAGGAATATTTTAATTTCCAGCAAATAATTTATTTTTTTTTTTTTTTTTTTACTGAGTCTGCTGAATAAATAGAATGTTTACTTTAAACTCAAAGCTATGAAACTTTCTAGGAATATTTTTAAAGAAATAAAAAAAAAAACTAAATTTCTTACTTTTTTAAAAGATCAAAATCATACAAAGTTAAAATTAATAAAACTAAATAATAATTGTTCAGTGTTAGTGTTATTTATTTAACAAGTAATTAAATTGTAAGTTGACAATCACAATCGATTTTACAATGATTTAAAAAAAAACAAAAAAAACTTTAAATCGAAAATTAAAAATATAAATTTCGCCGGTTTTAAATTAACTCACGAAGGGTTAAAAAGCATTAAAAAAAAAACAATCGGTCAAGTTTTTAAAATCTCAGTTTCCGATAATAAATGCTTTTTATTGGAAAACTGAGACTTCGATGTTTTATGGCTTACTTTAAAAAATAAGTAAAGAAAATATAACATTCTGATTTTTTTTCAATACGGTTTACTACGGTTGTAGTCTTTATCACAATATTTTTAAAAAATAATTATTCAAAGCTATTTAAATATATTCGAAATTCTGTATGAAAAGAAAAAAAATAAGTAGGTCTTTACTTTTTACTACTTAATCGCAAAAAAAGCGATAAAACTCATAAAAGAGAGTAAAATTTGAAAATGTAAACTAGTACTAGTAAAACACTAAAAAAAAAACCCGTATACACTATACAGTCATAATGTTTATTCTACTTCATAAGCGAAAATTAATTTTAAAACAAAGGCTACACTACTACACAGTCATCCATTATTTGTCTCATCACAAACTAGTTTAATGTACCAAATCTGTTTAAACATTTCGCTTTTCTACACGTGCTTCGTCTTCGTCTGTAATGTCAGCCTGACATCGACCAAAAAACTGTCCAACTTAAAAATTGAACCCTGTGCTCTTTTAAAAACTTTATGCTATCAAATGATTCTTATCTATTGTCATTTTAATATTTGGAATAATTTTACAAAAATCTGTTCTTATTAGCCACATAATCTCCAGATTCTAACTCTAGTTCTCAGCAAGGCAATTTTAAAGAAAACTAAAAAAAAAAGTCATGCAGTCAGGACTATTGTTTGATCGTTTTTAATTTTTTTTTTTTTTTACTAAGTTAACGAACCTAATAAATTTGGTGACGGATGAAATATAGTTTTTTTTAAATATTTCTTCGCGTGTTTATTATTGTTGTAGTGACTTCGGTGAGTGTTACCAAATTGCGAATGATAATTATTAATAAGTTGAATTTTTAACTTTTTTGGTTATGCTGAAAGTATGGCTATCAAACTTAGTTTTTTTTTTTTTTGTTGTTTTTTTTAATTTTTTTTTTTAATTATTTTATTCTCTTATTCCACAATAACAAAAAAATATATTCGAAATTTTTAATTGAAAACAATAAAACGATTAAATTACTTACTACAACAAACCAAAATAATTTTTAAAAATAAAATGAAAAGATCTTTTGGTAGAAATTCACAAAAATAAAACTTTTTTTATATTTTATAATTTTTTATTGAATCAAGACTCAAGAGTACCTTCATGTGACTTTTCAATTAATAAATTATTGAAAAATTGAAGTAAGGGTAATTTCGAGTTCAATCACTAAATTTTCTATTCATTGATTTACAAATTCATTCATAGTTTGCTAATAATAACAAAAACAAAATATTTTTTTTAACTTTACTAAAAATGCCCAAAAAATATTGAAGCCATCATAAAATTGTTCTAACTAAAAAAGTTTCCTATTTATTTGCAATACATAATTGCAAAGTATAGTTCAAATATTGTCACTTGTGTATGTCTATAAATAAAATGTACAATTAATGACTCTGAGAAAAGTAAAAAAAAAAAGTTTGAATTTTCCACAATACAGATTTGACAGCCATTCGCCTTAGTGTGTTTATTTTAAAATCCATAACAATAAGTTTTTTTTTAAATCTTGTGTTAATATTTGCAAGTTAGAGAATGTAGTTTGTGCATTTATGACCTAATTTTATGCATTCTTTTAAAAATTAGAATTAGGTGGGAGGAACTCTCTTCAAAAAATGGAATAAAATTTCCAATGTAAGTAAATAAAGATATGTTTCAATTAAATTTACCTTGTGATTTACTATAGGGCAGTGCTTCATCACTGATCAAATGTCCCAAGAAAGGATTAAGAATACTTATTTCATCATGCTCTTGTAGGAAGGAAAATTGATGTTACTGTTGTAGTACTTGTTAGAATCTGAAAACAATTGATGCCATTTCAGTTCTGATTACAGCTGTTGTCACGTTCGCACGAATGGCTTAAGATGAGAATTCAATCATCTCTACTCTCTCACAAGTCATCTTTAGTTTTCTCACTGGTATGATTGACGTGATAGTAAAATCAGAAAAAAATGTGTTAGTCATCAAAAGTGGCTCAAGTGCCAACCGTATTGTTTTAAGAATTTTCGGTGATTTACATGCATTAAAATGCGGTTTTCATATTTCTTATTACCATTTTTGTGTTAGTTTTTTCACTTTTATGAGTGTGTCTAGAGAGAAAGTATCCAGTGTGGATTGTAGTTGTATTGAAAAAGCTTGGAATATCTTTATTTTTGTAATAATTGTTTTTACTTTTTAGTAGATGGATTTGTATTCACAGATAAATCATTTTGCTAATAACAAAACTACTTATTGGTAGCCATTCATAAGTGTTAAAAATTTTAACACTTTATGGACTACTTCATTCTTGTTAAACAATTTTTTTAGAAAAATGATTTATCTCTGAATATCTACTAAAAAACTTAGTGGTATGAAGCAATTACATTTGCAGTTAAAATTGATAAAACTTATGAAAGAATTTTTAGATATAAGATTGAATTTTTTTTTAAATTCTCACTCTTTTTTTTTTCTTTCAAAAATTGTAATAAAATGGTGTTCGCACCAAATAATGGTAGTTGTATTATTTGTTTTTAACTTTGTTGGCTAGTGTTTGTGTACTTTTTTTATTTTTGTGCTCTGTGTAAAAAAAAAAAAAAAAAAAAAAGGTATAGATTAGAAGACCTTCCATTTCCATGTCCTGTAGTTTGTGTGTATAGACCAGGAGTTAAGTGTAAAATGTCTGCTACTGAAAGTAGAAGTGGTTTCAAATTTCTGTTGGAATGCAGTAGGATTCATATTATGGAACTGATTAAACTCTCCTTGGGTTACAATGATTTGCAATTGGCTTCTATGACTTTTTTTTTTTTTTTTTTGAACTGGTTCTCAGTGTTATACTATTTTGAATTATTAGTTTGAAATGTGGATTGAGGAAATTTGTTTTTGTAAAATTTAAGTCTTATCAGAATTTTGTGATTACTTTCTAATGAAATTATTATTTTGTTTATTTAAGCACTCTTATATCAAGCAGGGGCATATGTAAACAGTAAACACTCTAAACAGTATCAAGACTCTCTCTCTAGATACTTTTTAGCTTCACAAATGTTATTTAAAGCAAAAAGTATAATTTTCTTTATTAAGTAACTGATAGTATGAGTCAATTTGCTATTTCTTGCAATTATCAGCATTATTCTATATTTTTCAGGAACTATTTTATGTCTATTCTTGTTGAAATTATCCAAATATCTTTGTTTTCTGCCACATTTTTTTTTTTTTTAATTCTGTTCTATTGGTAGAAGGGACTCTGAGCAGGATATTTTTTCTTTAGATTGCACAGAGTTTGGAATTCATTTAGACAAGTTTTTTATATAAAGATATCTTTATATAGGTTTCTTTAGGAAATATTTGTTTCTTTAAACACTTTATCAAAAGATGTCATTTTATATATTCAGATATATCTATGATAGTTTATCTAGATCATAAAATATTTATAGAAACCTTTACACAAATTTTTGTGGAAACATATCATTTTCTTAACTTTTAACTAATTTTTTTTTTATCAATTCCAAGCAAGGTGATATAGGATGCAAGGATGGCTGGAAGTGAAAAAAGAGTAAGAATTTAAATGGAACCAGAAACTCAATTCTAAACAAGGGATAAACCTTTACTTCTGTTCAAAAGACTAGGGAGAAGTGTGAACCAGATAAGCAAACCTATATATTCCTAGTTTCCCCAAATAATTTTAAAATTTTCTTTGTTGAAATATTGTCTTATTATAAGGATATTAGCTTGAATTTATCTTGCGTTCAGACACTTTTCTTTGTCCTGAAACTGGTTGGGGGGGCATTTTTTTTTTTTTTTTTTTTTTTTTTGAATCAGATTTTTACTTGGTGATTATCATGTAGTTATTTCTCTTGTATAATGTAAACATTACGTATGATTTACCAACTTAAACAAAAGGGAATTGTTGATAGTTATTTAATCATTTTTTGATTCTGGCAATGTTCATTGACAACACCTCTTGCCTCATCACTTAGACTGCTTGGCTTTGGCTTCCTATTGATATTGTTTATTGATACCTTTGATGCTGGGAACAGCTGGAAACTATCACATTAGGATGTAATTCACAAAATGCTAGCCAAGCCAACAGATAACTCACCTGTGAGATACAGTTTTGAACAAATAAATAGAAAAAATATTTTTAATATAGGTACTCTAAGTTGACATAAATATGTAGCTTCTTTTTATTTAAAAAAAAACATAACCAGCATTTACAAGTGATTTAGTTAGAAGTCAATTTAGAGTATTTAAGATACCCTTTGCTTCATCATCACTTTCTTATGATTGAAAATTTATGGATATATAAAATGTAAAAGAAAAACAAAATGACATACGAATTTTACTTTAGTAGAATTTCTTAATCAGATTAGCACAATGTAAAAAGCCAGTTGACAAACATGAATTTGTCAGAGTATTGACCAGTCTTGCCAACAGAACTACATTATGGTCATCACTTTTCTACTCCTTGAATAGATTTCATTATCTATACAATTAGGTGTGCCTGGTTTTATTTTTGTGCTTGGATATTTAAAATCTTTGTATCAAAGCCTGATGAGATGCAAATAAACAGCTGGCTTCTATGAGGGTAGATCAATAAGTCTACAGCTTGACATGTTATTACTTGAAATTTTGATCTGATATTGTCAATTATACAATCATTTTCACTGAATTGAGTATATTGACAAGGAGATTGTGTTAAAAAGTATTTCTTGCAGAAAGGCTCTTTTATTTATGTTTTCATCATAAGGTTACAAACTTATTAGTGCATCTATTTAGGTGCTGCTATTATTACTACTACTACTACTACTACTACTACTACTACTACTATTATTATTATTTGGTATTTTTCTCCTCCTCTCATGAACTGATGCTGTATTATTTTTTTTCTTTCCATGAATAATTGAAAATTTTAAAGGTAGCCATTTATTTATTTCTATGATTGATTATTTTTAAAATTGAATATCTCAGAAAATTGTAAAATAAGACTTTTTATTGTAATTTTACATCCACAAAATTAAATAAGTATCATATCATGCAAACTTTTTAAATATATCTGTATAAAAAAAAATAGTGAAAAGCTGTTGTTTTTTTCTCTCTACAATACTTTTTCTTATAGAAATACTTGAATTATTTATTTTTTTTGTTTTTTAGAATTGCAATTATTTTATGAAACGTGTTGCTTCTGCAATAATGGAGCAAAATCAAATTGAAGATGACTCCGAGAAAGCAGAATCTCCTCTAAAACCTGAAGAAGTCGCTGCAATTGCTGTTAGTGATGGGTAAGTGCAAGTCAACACTGTTAACCTTCATGTTTCTGTAATTTTTTTTTCTTTGTTTTTAATTTTTTTTTCCCCCTTATCTGCATTCTGTAATGGGAATGTAATTTGCTTCTTCATAACTAAAATGTACTACTTTAACTATGAAGCATTCAAATTCACTAATATCTTTTTACAAGGAGAAAAACAAACCAATATTCCAACTGATGTATGTTTTAAGGGTTAAATTGTAAACATAAAACCAACAACATATTGCAGAGAACCCTATTTTATGACAGTTGAATCATTGCTAGGCTTTAACAGTTTAAAATATTAAAATAGCTTTTTATTTATTTATTTTTTATTTTTAAGTTTCAGATTTAAAAAAAAAAATTGAATCAAATCAAAAGTTTTGTACTTGAAGTACTGATTAACTCATTAATCATAAGACTATTTGGGTTTGTTCATTGCAAGAATGAAATCAATTAGCCTATTTTATGTTTTATATGAGGATGTTATACAACTGGCAAGTGAAGGAGGTTGCTAGAAGAGAAATGTTTTGAAATTTAAAAAATATTTCAGAAAATAAAATAATAAACAATTGTCAGATGAATACAGGAAGAAATTCCATAATGTATATCAAGTTTCAAAAACAAATGGTGATGATTTATAAAAGTTTATTATTTAGTAACACTTTGTTTAAATTTTTAATTAAAAAATGCTGAGAAATGATTTTATAGTGGCACTTGCATATTTTCTTGTCTAAAAAAAACTCCTTACACAGTTTTCTGAAAAAAATTTTTTTTTTTTTTTTTTTTTTTTTAAATTGTGGATAACTAACAATTTAAATGTTTTAAGGATTATAAGATTATCTCATTTTATAAAAGTAAAAGAAAGTAAGAGCTCTATGTAAATGTGATTATAAGGTGAGACCTAATTGTTTGTATGTTTTGATCTTAAATGCTACAATGGATTTCCAATATTTTAAGGAAAACATTACTCACAAAATATTTCAATATGTGCTTGTGGTTTTAATGTCACTTTTTTTACCTATTTTTACACTTTGAACGTGTCTCATTTGAATATTGTGAAATCATTAATCTTTGGTTTTTCTTGTAGAGTTGTGTTGGAGGAAGAAGTCATTCATGAGCAACAACCCCCACCACAATACCAAAATCTGATTATCCAACACATGGACATAGCAGAACCTCTCTCTACTCTTAAACGGCTTCTTGAAATACGATTACAATGTTCTTTAGCAGAACACAATTTTTATTTACAGGATACTATTTTGGTATGTAATGCTAATATTAAGTATTTTAATAAATCCCTATATTTTGTAAACTTTATACTCTTCAATTTTAGCTGTTTTAATCCATCAGTTGCATATTTTTTCAGCATTCTTCAAGTATATATTGTTATCTAGTGGTTTGTAAAGAAGAAACCTTTTCAAAACTGAAAAAATACATCTGTTCAGTAATATTTAATCGTTATATTTTGTGTTAAAAGTTGGTCTGGTTTATAGTAGCCCACCATCCTGTATTAATGTTTACCACTAAATTAAGTACTTTGACAAAGATTGCTGATTGGGAAAGAAATGCTTTTTTTTATTTTATTTTTTTTTTTTTGTGTGTGTATTTTCATACAAGTTTTCGGCATTTGTGTATGCATGCATTACTTGAACATTATTTTTAGTGGATACCCATATTTGAGTAGATGCACTGTTTATTTATTAAATATTATATTTATCATCTATCATCCTGAATAAATATACTGTTTAATAAATAAACAGCATCTACTCAAATATGGGTAGCCACTTAAAAATAATGGTTAAGTAATAAAAATATATCAGATTAATAAATTAAAAATCCATTCCTAAAATTGCTTTGTTTACATTGGGATACAAAACTGAGTACATGCACACACACACATATATGTACATACACACACATTTTATAAAATCTCAACATCACAAAGTAAGTTATTGTAAATACTACTTACAAAAACATATTGTAAGCCGAGATTCATGGTGTATCTATTGTATTAATATATACTAATATTCTGCATTAGTTGGTTGATAACAATTTTATTGTGGAAACATTAACTTGCATGATAAAATCTGATATAATGTATGAGTGTATAGTTACATACATTTTTGGTACATAGACCCAACTACATGACATGCATATACACAACTGCCTTGTTCTCATTACAACTTTTCTGTTTTTAATTTCTTTCACTGATAGTGATAAAACCTATCTTTGTGTGTTGTTGAACAATGACAGCTATAAAATGTTAGTGGTTGTTCACCTTCCTTGATTGACATTTTCTTTGTCTTCAATCAATAGTCATTTGTCATTTACATATTCTCATGATATAAGGCTCATTCAGATTTGCCATCACTTGTGCTTACTTCAAACTGTTGCATTGTATAAAATTTTTCTTTTTCTGGATTGATAGATTTATTTATATTTTTTATAGCTGGATAGCAGTAAAAGTTTGGTTGATCAGTGTGTTCAAGGTGAAGGAATGGTCCAGATAAATCTAGAAGTTAAGTCACAACCAGGTAAATGATAGAAGACATTTTAATTTCAAACATTCGATGAAATGACTTTTTTCTCTCTTTCCCTTGTTCTATGTAAGTGTCTTGATGATCATAATAATTTGTTTTACTTCAGGAACAAAGCCCAAAATAAATATTTTGGATATTCTGAAACCTGCTGAAGAAGTTATTATACCTCCTAATCTCCCTGACCCTGCAGTGGCTACAACTCAAACAATCCAACCACAAGCCACAAAAGTAGTCATTCCATTACCTGAGGAATCAGAAAATGTCACAAGATGGATTGTTGATCAAAATTTCCGAAGAGAACAAGAAAGATTGAAGATTCCTCATGGTAAGTTATCTTTTATATACTTGTTTATTTGTAGAAAAATAGGTTAGAAAAAAATTGATCTATATATTTAGTTAGGTTATAAAAGAAAGCAAGGGTATATGGATAGATACATTGTCACATTAAATTGTAACCTAGAAAATACAGTAAGAATTTAAAAAAAACAGGTTTGTCTATGAATTTAAAAATGGTGCTTCATGACCATTTATACAATGGCACTTAAAAAGCTATAGGCTACAACAGTGGAAACATTGATTTTTTTTTTTTTTTTTTTTTTTTTTAATCAAGTGGGAAATTCTTATCTGCCTACATTTAAGTTTATAACTTAAAAAATACTTACATTTTGGAAAATGTACTTTTTCTTCATTCTCTGATGCTGAAACCTTCCAGTTTTATGAGACCACATTTGAAAAGTGGTGATTAAATTTGCTTTATTTTTCTATTGGGGGGTGTGTTCAGGTGATGTAATGGATAGAAGTTGAGTTTCATTACATACGATTTCACAAATACCCTTGGGAAAGATATGAACCCACTAGCTATGGGTTAAATAGTAGAGCAATCTAGGCTTTTCTGCTTTGGGTGACCACCAGTCTTCAAAAAGGATAACTCTGAATTAAAACCTTATTTTAGCCCTGGCAAACATATACTATAAAACTAAGGAAAGTATTGTGAAGTTTACAATGACTCTATGATCTCGACTTCAGTTGGACTCTTTTTCTTTTTTCTGTTCATAGATTCAATTGCAGATATTTATCTTAAAAAAAAGAAAACTCAAAGGTTTTTCTTAAACATGTTTAAGACTTTCTCAAAAAAAATTCTCCATCCAGTTATCGTAGAAAAATTTTATTAAAATTATACCATTTAAAAAAAATGTAAAATTAAACTTTATTCATGAATGAAAGCATTTTACAGAAAGGCAGATTCACTTGTATGTAGAAATTCACTTTTCAAAATATATATAATTTTATTTTTTCTATTTAATTTTAATTTAAAAAAAAAAAAAAATGACATTGATTCAAACTTTGAATTTTAAATCTGTTTTTAGCTTTCTCTGGAAATTGACTATATTCAAGAAAATAATAAATAGAAAAGTAAAATTAAGTTTTTTAAAAGAAACCTGAATTTTTTTTTCTTTTTATCTATGCTAGATCCGTGTCAGTGGTCTGAAGTTCATGTACGTCATTGGATTCAATGGGCTGTACGAGAATTTCAGTTAGAAGGTGTAGATATAAATCAATTCCGGTTAAACGGCAAACAGTTGTGTGACTTACAACATGATGACTTTGTCAAGTACATCCCATTTGACAGAAATGATATTTTCTGGACACACCTTGAACTCCTGAGAAAGTGTAAATTTGTTGGTAAGGTTTTCTTATTTTATGGATATGTGTACATATTGACTCCAATGTTGATTTATTTATTTTTTTTTTTTCCTTCCATATTTCTTTCTTACAAAAATGGTTGATTTTGGGTGTTGGTATAGTGGGCTCCCTGGTGTTCTAAAAGTTGGGGTCATGTTCAGAGTAACTTACACAAGCATGACAGATATTTTACCATTCTAAGCAATTTAGTGTTAGCTTCTCCCATGGGTCAATAGGAGTGTTATATACTTTGAGGTTAAATTTCAATATATCTCTTCATTATTTGTCATTTGGTCCTCAAAATTCTATTTTAACTAGACACTCTTTGTCTCCCTGATTATCAAGTAATAATGTTGAGTAATTTTGATGAATTGACTTTCATATTGAATCAGTTCTGGTTAAAAATGCTTTACAAAAATAAGTTTATTATAATTTTTCAGTTAACTGAAAATTAATTGAAAAAAATGATATCACAATTCATAAAAACTGTTCTTTTGCTTTTAGGGATAGAGATTAAGAGTTAAGAAATCTTTAATGGTAGTATTAACCATTTCCCTACAAAGAAACATTTGGCATTCATTGACCAAGCAGCTAATACTGTTTTCACTTGAAATTTATAAAATCTTTCTTAAAACAATTTTTCAGAAAACAAGACTTTCAAGTCAAGTATCTATTCTCATTCTTTCTGGTATTGATGGGGAGTTTCTTTCCTAATCTTTCATTTGGAGTAGTGTGGAATGTCATTATTTTCTCTTAATTATATGTGCTGTCCATTTCTATTGTTGCAGTTCCTCGTTTATAACTTTGTAGCACCAGTCCAAAATGTTCAAAAGAGTATGGTCTTTTCCAAAACCTTCACGCTTCACTCACTCAAAGCTATATTTAAACATTTATCTTAGAAAGCAGTTGTCAGCAGTTTAGTTTTTTCTGAATGGGTTTGGCACTGTGCATGACATCCATATGAAGTCTCGATCTGACAAGGCTATTTAAGAACATTACTTGAGCATTAGCTGTTTTCTTATAAGGAAATATTTGGCATTTATTGACAAAACAGATTGTACTATTATTGGTTGAAATTTATAAAATCTTTTTCTTTAAAACAATTTTTCAGGGAAATAGGTTCCTAAAATCCAAGTAGCTGTTAGTGCTCTTTCCAGTATTAATGGAGTTTTCCTTCCTGTCCTTTTTATTTGAAGTAGTTGCCAGCATCTTTCTTATATCATTATTTTCTCTTACATGTGCTATCAATTCTAGTTGTTGCTCTTAAAAGTCCTCAAGTGATGTGGCTTTTGTTATTTGGTACAGTTCTTTGTGATTCTGTAGCACCAGTCCATAAGGTTCGGAGAAGTGTAGTCTTTGCCATGATCTGCAGACTTCAATCTCTCAAAGCCACTTTTAACTATTGATCTCAGAAAATGGGTTTTATAATTAATAATAGTATTAACTAAAGGATATAAAATACATTATTTACATTATTCAGACTATTGTCGCCATATAGACAGACTCGGATATAAAATAGTCAAAGAAAAAAGGGAAATAGCCAATCATAGTCAACAGATGTTCTTATGAAATAAACTGAGTTTACTATTTTTATTCTGATAATGTTCTAAGGAACACTGTTGTCAATATTTTTGAATAAATTCCATTATTTATGCTTGTGTGATTAATTTAAATTTGCATGTGTGGAAGATAGCATGTTAAGTAAACTTGATGAATATTTGTTGAAAAAGCTTGGCATAAGTCCACATTTGTGAACACTCGAGCAAAAATTTGCAACATAACCTGTTAATCATTGCTCTATAGGTATATATTAGGTTATTATAAGTATCTGATTCTGGCTAGAGTGAGAGAATCTTGCACTTTTTATCTACAAATATATCTTCATGAAAGAAAATGACTTATTCAAAATAAGTCAGGATACTGCTGGTACTGCATCAGTTGTAAATGATAATTAAAAATATTAGATTTACTGATAAGTAAGGGATTCTTTAGCCTTGTTTAAATATCCTTTTCTGTCCATCACTAAATTTTGTTTAATACTTTTCTTATAGTATTGTATGGATCATTCTCTTTCTTGGTCTTTTGAACAGGAATAGATTTATCATTTGTTTCCTTTTTAGGATTGAGTTTCTAGTTCCTTCTAAAGTCTGTTCATTTGCTTGTTTTCTGAATCACAATCTTGACTTCACATCTAGAATTAATCATTATCTTTCCTGTATAGCCTCCAAGAACTTCATTTCTTGCCCTTTCTTATGCTCATGTAACACCATTTAGTAGCCCTCTACTTTGACTGGCTCTTGGGCCTTGTATTAGCTGAACATTTTTAAAAATTAAAAAAGTAATTACCCCTGAGATTCCATTTGAAGATTCACTTTGGCTTACAATTCAATTTTGAATGATGTTTTTTTTCTCTTAGCACAAAGACTGCTTTTTTCTTTCTATTGCAGCTGTTCTCCAGCAGCCCACTCCTCATGCCATCACAACTATTACAGTGTCAACTTCTGATGGACATTCCGGTAATTGATGTTTATCCTATTCAAATACCCTTTCTTTTGCAAGAAATCATTTCTCTGCTTCTGTAAGGAATGCTATTGGATTCATGTTGCCGCTCTTTTGAAAATTAAATGTCATTTTGCTTAGAGCTTTCTGAAAACTTGACATGGCAAACATTCCAGTAAGCTCAATTGTCTGTCTTTTCTGTTTTTCTATAAATAGACATTGGAAAATATGGATTGCAGAAGAAAAATGTTTTAATCCAGAACTGTTACTCTTCAGCTAAATTTGATATTTGGGTCAGCAAATCTAGTTCTATTATGGAAGCTGGCTAATGTAAAATTATATGCTTTAAAGAATTTAGTTGCTTATCATACATCCTAACTTTCCTCCTTGACACATCAGCATTTGTATTCCTTAAAGAAAGAGAAATATCTTACATAAATGGAAATTGTTTTTGTAGACTTAAACTTGGGTCATTAAACCAGTTTCATATTTATACTGACTTTTCATAGTTTTGCAGGCTGCTAAATAGTCAACTGTAACAAATTTTTTTTTTTTTTTAAGCCAATATTAATGTAATTATATTTTTTATTAGGTGGGAAAATCCTTAGCAAAACACCACGGCCTCGTTTCCCAAGGATTACAGGAGAAGAACGGATTACACCAGGTAACAGAACAGGTGAGTTAGATTTCTTTATCATTATACATTTAAATATTTTACTTTTTAAAACTAAATTAATTTTTACAAAATATCTATGTTGCCATTTTCAATGATTCCTTTTTTTTTTAATATAAGTACATTGTTCAATTTATTTTCCATTGTTGGCATTAATAGAATTATTTTCTCTTTTCAAAGATATCTGAAACTGTTTCTAGATACAAACTATTCATTTAAAAAAAAAAGTAAAAATTTTTATGCTAAAATCAATTGTCCCAAATAGTAATATCAAAAATCCTTTAAGTGAAACATCATTTTTGACTGGTTTCTTTTATTTGAATTTCAAGTGTTTTTCATTACAACTTCATTTCACATTCAGCCACTAGTAAATAAATATATTGGAATAATTCCAATTAAGATAGAGTAAATATTATTCAAAATTTAATGGTTTAAAATCTATTTGTTTCATATTTAAACTAATGTTTATAGTGCTAGTTATTTTGATATATGTGAATGTATGTATAGTCATATTAAAAAGGTGTTTCTCTATGAATTAATAGCTACAAAGGCGTTACAAATGTAGTGACTCTGTGCCAGATTTACACTACGCTTAGTGAATACCTGTTTACAGTTAAATCACAACTGTCTGATACAAAATTTAAGTTTAATTGAAGCATTTCTTGGTTGAACTGAGAACATTTCGATTAAATGTTCTTCATGTGAGTTACAAATTGACAGAAAAAACTTAACATTGAGTTGATAGTTTTTTTTTTTTTTTTGTTTTTTTTTTACATGTAAAGCTCACCAACATTTCTTGATTACATCCTACAAAACCGACTAAATGTTTACGGATATTTTTTTTTTTTTTTAGCAGTAGTTAAGTATTGTACAAATAGGCTTAACTCACTAATATCAAAATATAATACCTTTTACATTTTATTTTTTTTAAATTGCGTGGCAGATATTGTACTTGGCTTTCAAAATCATTCAAGTTTAGCTCAACTGCTATGGATTTATACAAAGTCATCTTAGATAGTTACAAGTTGTTGCGATTATGGAGTTTTTTAAACATTTTAAAAATGTGTGTGTGTGTTTTTTTGTTTTTTTTTCTTCCTCTTCCTCTCTCTTAAAACATTTTTTTCTTTGTAGGTAATAATGGTCAGATCCAGTTGTGGCAATTTTTACTTGAACTCTTAACAGACAAAGAATATCGTGACATCATTCAGTGGGTAGGTGATGATGGAGAGTTTAAATTACACAATCCTGAAATGGTGGCACAGCTGTGGGGCCAGAGAAAAAATAAACCGACAATGAATTATGAAAAATTGAGTAGAGCCTTAAGATATTACTATGATGGTGACATGATTGCTAAGGTAATTTCTAAATTATTCTTATCCTGTTTTGTAATTACTCTTTTATTAAAATCTTTGTTTTTTTTATTTTAATGAATTCTTTGTACCTTTCTGTATACAAATTACATTCTGTTTGCAAGTCAAGTGCACTGACTGCTCAAAGTATAACTGACCAACATGTTTAATAAGTATTTTTATGATTTGTATTTAAATTGCCATAAATTTCCAGTAGTTCTGATGTGTAGGTTATAGATATATAGATTCTTTTTTTTCCTACAGTTGATAGTAATTGTAATATGAGCAATGAAATAAACTTTGTCCAACTCAAACAAAAACAATTTTCCAGAGCCATTGAAAAGGACACACCAACACACATATTAAGACACTTAAAAAATATTTTTTCATCTGTCCAATTAAATATTTAAAAATACTGTAAGTAGAATATTAACTTGATGAAATAAATCCATACACAAAAAGTGTTAACAATCCTCACTCAGAGTAATGTGTGATTTATTTTCAGGTTCATGGAAAACGTTTTGTGTACAGATTTGTTTGTGACCTGAAAATGTTACTTGGTTATTCATCCCGTGAATTAAGCAAATTGATTCCCCAGAGCTGTGATAAAAAAGTGCAACACATCGAATTAGTGCCACAGTGTCTCGAGAAAAAATTACAGCAATTGCCAGATGAACCTCTCTTGACGACCATTACAATGAAACGGGTGGATCAAAAAACACAGACTGTCTAACCACACAAACAATCCTTCACACTTTTATACACGATTTTTGGAATGAAAATATGCATCCATAACTACTACCATCTTTTTCAGGAAAAGAAAAATGGTCACCTTATTACCATGTGTGTTTGAAGCAGGAGACAAAAAAAAAATAGCTTCAAACACTAAGAACATTCAAAGCATCAAGACCAGGGTCCTCCAGCATGTCACGATAAATTCACCACCCCACAGTCCTGCCCACCCTTCCCAAAACATGGAGTACCAAAATTCCTTTTCTAAAAGAACACATTCCTTACTAACTTGTTTGGCCATAATTTACAGTTTGCTGTAAAAGGCATTTTCTAATTTTTTTTTTTTTTTTTTTCTTCTCTACTTTTTATTGGAATTTTCCCCACTTTGTTAATTTTAAACTTTGAGTGTGGCTGGGAAAAAGACAAACAAAAACACACAAAATTGTGAGCAGAACTTCACAGAAATTGAACTATTTGAAAACTGAGAATCCTGCAAATACTTCCAAAATTTTAACAATTCAACTTTTTTATTAAGTTGAAACAATTGTAGACAATTTGAAATTACCTTTTATAATAAATATACTTTATTATAGCATTGTGTTATGGATTTCAATTATCCAGATAAGTTTTTTTTTTTTTTTTTTTTTTAGCTAAATACTTTGTGAGCTATTTTATTTTTCTTATGTTAAGAATGACAAAGGAACTCTGTTTAAAATTATTAAGTCAATGTTTAAAAACTTAACTGTAAGCACAAATTTGAAATACAAAGAATAGATATTGAGTTTTTTCATATTGTCAATGGGTGTACACACATGCATATATAAAATTAATACAGAAAATTATTTTTTTTTTTTTTTTTTTTTTTTTTTTTTTATTCAAGGAATATTTGATATGAAAATAGTTAAACCTAACCTATTTTAGGACTGGAAATAGAAGCACATGAAGAATGTGCTTCTATTTCCAGTTACAAATAGGTACTTTGGCAGTGGCCTTTTGTAATTAAAAATATCAATTTTGTTGATTGTAATTTCTGTTGCTGTGAAAATTATAATTGGTTCTACCTCTTAATTTTGGGTGGAAAGCTGACAACATTCTCTTGCTCATCAAGTCATTATCACATGGCTTGGAAAAAAGGGGCACAAAAATTGCAGCTTAGCAGAGATTGAACTTGGTAGCTTCGATTTACAAGACAAGCCTGGTAATCGTTCTGTGGCAGGCACACTCTATCATGTCCATTTTATATAAAAAGAATTGTAGACCTTTTTGAGTTGAAATTTTAAATACAAACAATTTTGATCCAACATTTTGCCACCAAATTTTTCAGATTTAGAGAACATCTCAAAATTCAAAGTAAAAGGACCAGATTGAACTGATGATTGATTTAAATCCAATAAATAATGATTTGTATTAATTACATCCAAAATTGGTCCATTTATTAAGGATTAATGTTTTATGGATGAAGCTTTATGGAAAAAATGAAATGGTTTGATATTTCATAATTGTCATGAGTTAAAAATATGATTGGATATCACATTAGAAATGGCTGTACATTTTTTTTTTCTCCCATCCATAAATTTAAAATAAAAAAAAAAATACTTTAAGAGAATTCTAACAAGCAGGATAATTTAACAATGTCCCCAATGCAAATCTGTATCTTGGTTTAGGTTAAAGCCTTGCCAAAATGAAAGTATAAGGCAGGTTATGGATTCGAGGTGTTCATTATGAATGAATAACTGGTGTAGAGATTTCTGGCTTCCATAATATCAACTTCAATATTTTTCAAGATCGTAATTTGCTGATTTTACTGTATGGCATTGTGTAGATGGGTTCCATCAGTTGTGTGGCAAAGTAAAAAAAGAAACCAAAGATGACTGAGAGTCCACAAAAAACAACAAGCAATGACCGATACAAATCCATGTTGTTATATTGCTGCAAGAAAGAAAATAAATAACTTTTAATAACATAAAAAAAAAAATAGCATTAATTTTTTTTTTTTAAAGTGTAAAAATGTATTTATTAAAAAAATAAATGCATGATGATTAATTACATACAAATTTCTCTTTAACCTGAATGTTTATTTATATAAAAGTTATTTTTAATTTTGTAATACAAGTTCCACTCCTAAATTTATGAGTGAAGAGTTCAAGTATTATTATTATTATTATTATTATTATGCCTGTTGAGCCATGAGTTAGAAACAAGTAATACACAGATTTGTACTGGCTGAGAGAAGAGGTGTAAAATATAAATTACTTTGAACTGTTTTTAATTTATTTTTTTCTTATGGCTATTTAAAAAGATCTTCTCAAGTAAATATTTGGATCAATGAAAAATGACTTCCATTTATAGATTGTAATTATAATTAAACCAATAAGCTTTTGAATTAACATTGTCAGTCCCCAACTTCCAACTGTGGTTAGTATAAAACATTTATTTGGATAGGATAGTGTTAGTATATTGTTCTTAAGTTTGTACCATCCACGATGTGCTTTTTCCTTGAGTCATGGAAAGTGAATTTTAGAAGTATTTCCAATACAGATCAATTGGAGAGTCTTTTTGAGGAAGTTTGATTACACCAACCATGAAGGAAGGAAAATGAATGAAGTAATTTATACAAAAAAAAAAAAAGTTATGAAACATTTTGCTTCATTAACAAAAGTTTTTTTTTTTTTTTATTATTATTATTAAAATCTGGCAATGATGTGTGAATAACATGAAGGCTATTGGTATGAAAGTGGAATGCAAGGTTCAAATTCTGGCCTAGTCTGCGGCATTCATTTTCACACTGTCTTTGGTAAAGGCTGGCCTCTCTCATATAACTAGACTCTCTGGCCTTGGATGTCAACCAGTCAGCTGTGCAGAAGACAAAGGGGAACTATTTTCCCCCAAGTAGGCATGAAAATTGACAGCTAAAGAAAAGGAATCTATTGAGAGCTCTAATTGTTCTGAAAAAGAAAAGTAATTGAATTTTAAAATATCCTTTCATGGTAGCAATATTTTTTAATTTTATTTTAAGAAACAGTCACTCTTTGTAAATTAATTTTAACACATGATAGTAAATTTAATTTTTTTTTTTTTTGCAGGCCAGATCTGGTTTTAGACTATTTTTAATTTTTTTTTTTTTTTTTTTAAATACAAAAACCTTAAAACCTACCAAAACATCAACTTGAACTGGAGTCTCTGGCTCTCTTGGAATGAAAAATAATATAACTGTCAACAAGGTACACCCTATGATAGAACCAGTTCCAATATGCCTGAAAATAATATTTATTATAAATATTTAAATGGAATGGCAAAAGACTACAATCAATAGAGAAAAGATCATCTTGTCCATTTGACAATTCTTACAACAATGAAGAATGTAATACAACTTAAAACTTTGTAATTAATCAACATTTGATTAACAATAAAATTTAATTTTTTGTAATGATGAAAAACAAATTTAAATCAGTGTTACTTTTATCATTTAAAAGATATTTTACCAATCACTTTCATTTTTTATTATGAATGATGAAGAATAAAATGCCCCTCAATTTGATAATTTGTTAGAATTTCTGGAGTGTTCTAGAGTTATCATTATACAATTACATTAATATCTTCATCTTTGGCTGTTGTGCCATCAGCCTTCTTCAGGTGTCTGTCAATCTGAATAACCTTGATAAGATTTTGAATTTAATTCTCAGACTCGGTGAAAACAGAATGTGCAATAATTCAAAGCAAAAAGAAAAACAAGATCTTAAAACCAATACTCAATGAGGAAATGTCTGATTCATTTCCAAGGGATAGTGAAAGCAATGAAGATTTTTTAGGTTTTGAACCAAACAGAGTAACAGTAAACTTTCTAGATTTATAGATTATCTATAATGTTTTGAGCTCTTTTAAAAATTAGTCTGTTTTGTTCTAAAGTATCAGAATGAAAATCTTTCAAATATGGCTAGTTTTTGTTGCCAAAACTCCTCTTCAAAATAAAGGTGAGTTTTATATTCTGTAAAATATGGTATATTGATGAATATATATTAAATGTCTTTACTATTTTATTTTCCTCATCTTCAGTATCTCTGTTTTTGGTTGTCATTAAAATATTCTTGCACAACTTGTGGACACTGCAAAATATCTACTGAGATTCAACATTAAATGGAAACTGAAAATGCCGAATGATAAAATCCAAACAATTGTAGAAGTAATGTCACTTTAAACAAAGAACAATCCTAACAACAGGTAGTGCAGCATAACAAACATCGAGTAAATGTCATAAATTCATAGAATGCAATAAAAGAAAAAATTTACAAATGTCATAGATCTTGCTCAGTGAACTCAAGGGAAAAATTTCCTGCTCAAATCTTTAATGCATTATTCAGGAAAGAAGACAAATATATTAAACCCAATGAATATCCATATATACTGGGTGTGCAAAGTATTAGAGAATATATTTAGCAGTATATGGATGCATGACCTGGTAGTGAGAATGTTTGCTTTCCTGAGTTTGAATCTCTCCAGGGTTGATTGGTCAGATTGCTGTCTTGATGCTAGCAGCTTAGGGAAGCGATCCCAGCATGCAGCATCATTTTAATGTACTTGAAAACCATACCACAAGTTTACAAACGATTTGTGAGTGAAACTGGAGAAATAGAATTGTTCCTCGATGGTTGTGTTAGCATGGAATGTTAGAGTATACTAGCCTTGTTCAAACTGTTGATATTTCCAGATGATGCATTTTCTCTCAGTTGTAGTATAAACCATAGGAGGTGGGGGGTCTGTGGGTGTTGAACAGACACAAATGTGCCTGAATAGACATGCATACTCAGATATAAGTGGCTGGAATTATTTAGCATTAGAAGATGACTTAATGTTACATAGCATAAACAAAAAAAATTTTACTTCTTATTTCTCTTTCAAATGTATTGAGGACCTTGACATGGCAACTTCCATTCTGACACAGGAAGTGAAAAGGCACTTTATTTATAGCATGAGGTGCCAATCACAGCAGCAATCTTTTTGAAC